ACTTGTGTGTCCAACATAACTTAAATTGCAACTACAAGAATTTTATATATTCCACATTTATCCTTTACATCAATTTTACCTTTCACACCATTAATAATATTAATTAATTTTAATTGAGGAGAGAAACTTATTTGACAACCTGTATTTTTCATGAACACATTACATATTTTTGTTGATAGTGATGGTATGGCAAACATATTCTTTTCTTACTTCTTTTACATATTGTCTGTAATTGGGTACATCCAGAAATTCATAATTTATTACAATATGTTTTTAATCCTATCTATTACATTAGATTGATTTTGATATTTTTGAGTTGAGGAAAAGTATTTTTAATTTTAACATGAAAATTACTTTGCACGCAGACTATTCAAAACAAATACTCAATAAATTCTTCGACAAATCTTTATTTTACTTTATTAAAAATACTTCACTAAAAATATTATTTTTTTTGTATGTGAAAGACTTATAATGTTAACTGAAAGACTGCCAAATTTTTGTGAAGATATACACACTATACTGAAAGTCAGAAGTATTGAATCTATAAAGACTTTAAATGAGTACAAAGAGGTGACGTGGTCAGTCAAACTGACCGAGCCCATGTAGAAAGAGTTAATTGTGAGGGTGATACTTTGGTGCATAACTAGCCAAGATATTTATCTCAAACTGGACTTCCTTTTGAGAGGAAGAAGAAAAATACTTTGAATCTCTGGGAAAGATTAACAATGTATATCAACTTGTTAGAACATAAATACCAGATCATTAACTTGGGGTTGGGAACAAGTCTGCTAAGAAACCAGGGTAAACTGAAGAGATAAGTGATGGCATAAAATTAGAGTATGTCAAGTAAATGGCTGGAACAAGCTTAAATCTGAGAGATAAGTGGTAACCTGAGGTCAGAGTAAAGACATCAATGGGCTTATGAGAACAACAGTTCTTGTGCAGGACCTTTGATTTCCACTTGGGATGCTGAGTGAACAATATCCACGTACTGTATACAAGTAGGTGAGATAATATCTAAAAATTATGAATAAAAGCTGGGTAGAGTCTGTAGTAAGTCAGTATGCATCGGAGAGCCTCTATCAGCTACCCAGCCTACACAAGAGTTGAACCAACAGTCAACTATGCCTTCTACTCCCCCAGTGCAAGCCTTGGCTTCCCAAAGAGTAGAGTATATTTGTAACAAAGTTTTTAAAGTATTATTAAAGATTCCTTTTAAGTAAAAACCTTACAGGTTTCTATGTACAAAGTTAGAAATTTTTAGTGCTGATTAATATTAATAAATGTATTTTTTTTCATGTAAAAAGCATCTGACTCATTTCTTATTCTTACATAAATCTCCCCAAGTTGGTGATCTGTGAGAAAATACCATTGACTGCATTCCTAGAATTTTCACATAAATATTATTTGTAATGAACGACTTTCCTCTTGATAGTGCCTTTGACAGTACAAAACCTGTAACCTGAATATATGATTAATAGCATACCATGGGTTTCTCCCTACAAATTTCAACATGACTACTAACACTAAAAAAATTAAACATTACTTCATTACATTTTCAAACAAGTTTTTACATACAATTAATAAATGCTATTTGTGTAAATAAAGGATTAAAAAAACTAGTTTTATCCATAAGCCTACATCAAGTGTCAGTTAATTGAATACACCTTACATTGTTGAAAAGAATTTAATTTCCAAAACACATTCAAGAATACTTATGTTTATATAAAAAATATCAAAGCTAGCTATATGAAGTACTTATTTAAAACATTTTTCAAACAAAAAATTATTAATAGTTAAACCTGTGATCAGAGTTTCTGGTTCGAGACATGTCAGTGCCTGTCACAATTTCCATGAAAAAAATGTTCAGAAAAGTAAAAGATGAGGTGTTATAAACCTAACACATACATAATGTGTTAAAAGTTAATGTATAGTTTATTTAACACTAATAATACAGTTATGTGAACTTAAATTAAAATGTAACATTATATAAAAATAGAATTCTAAATTGTATTCGACATTAAAGAATACAGTTATGCAATTAGAAATACACAGTGGCAGATAGCCTTAGTAGTTTTGCCATACTCAAAAACAAAGAAACAAACATAACATCCACTTGGCTAAAAGGACAAGCAAGCTTGCTGCATTATGTTTGGTGGCAATGTGAATCAAACTTAAAACCTTGAACCACAAGGCAACTCCAGCCTTTAAATGTCAGATTAAAACTGAACAAATGTAATTTAGCAGAAAAATAATAATGAGAATTTGAAAATTCATAATATCCTTATTTTGATTACTTGAATATCTAAAATAATTGTAAATATTGATAATCAGGATCCCTAATTTTGGTTGGTTGATTATTTCTGTGAGTCATGACCCTAATCAATTAAGCTGAACAAACTTGAATTAATTGAAAATAATAATGAGAAATCACAGTGCCAATATTTAGATTACTTGGATAGAATAATCAGAAATACTAATTTCAACTAGATGATCAGTTTTGTTACATTAATCACTTTAATCACAATTTCAATTAACCAATTATGCAATGTGACATTAATTGATTACATTGATACTCATAGATAATCCATTATATCAATTAATCGAGTTAATCACCCAGCTTTAGGATACATACATGAAAAGAAGTGTATCTGTACACACGTTTATAACGTGAACTTATATATATATATATATATATATATACTATATTAAAAGTTGGTAGTATACAAAACTGTAAAGACTTTAAATCAGTATAAAGTGGTCACATGGTTGGTCAATTCGACCAAGCCCGTGTGTCGAGAGTGTTAATGTACATAGACTCTGTATTTAATTGCCTATAACCTAAAGAAAACATTGTATGCCCCCACTCCAGGTGACATCATATAATGTTTCAGTACCATATAAATCACAAAACTATTCAATTTACGCAATGAATAGCATAACCCTATCACTACGGGTTTTGCTATGGTCAGGGATCAAAGGGCATGTCATCACGTTTACAGACTTACATTCAAAATTTTATTGAACTATTATTTTACGAATGTATGTCAATAAGTTTGGTATCAAATTGTAGATTATAATTCAAATTTTAGCATTATACATTAGTTAATTTTTTAATTTAAAACTAAATATTAAAATGAAATGCTAAATATTAACTTTTGTATGTCATGTGATATGCTGAATGCAGCTTTGGTTCAAAATAGATGCTTCTGATGTCCAGTTACAAAGTCTATTGTTTCTTATGAATTATAAACTCAAATTACAGATATTCACAAGCTGGAATAGAAAATAAGATCTCCTATCTTTTCTGTTTGCTGAGATATCATTATATTTAGCATATTAAACACAGTAGCCCTGCCCACCTCTTCCATTTTTGGAAACACTTGTTTACGTACACCCACTTCGATCTATTATGTTTTTAAAACCAATCAAAAGTTCAAGATTTCCCTCACATGGTTTTCTCAGCCTCTCGAAGGTGGGAATTTCCCAAGATTATTTCTTTTGTCTCCAATCTTGGAAGGAACGGAGTAAGTGAAAATATTGTTCAATAAACAATATTTTTTTAGACTCAAATAGAGTTTAGTTAGTAAGCTTGATAAATAACAGTGAAATTCTGCAATATTGGTAAAGTAATTCATAATTTTCTGTTATTTCAAAATGCATTTATAAAACCTAAAAAAGTTATATTGTTTAACACCCTCCATGTGCAAAATTTAGCAAGGTATGACAAGCGAGTACAAAGTTCTTTACAGTTGTAAGTTGTAGAGATCATTGTTTTCTATATTTCTTTATTTTCTGTTCTATGTTTTAAGAAAAATAACTAAAACTTAAGAGCTTATTTGTAAATAGTAGTAAATATATATATATATACATTATAATGTATTATAACCAAAATGTGACTGTATTTTACAAAATACTTGTCCACTAGAACAATGCCAAAACAGGTTACTTTGTAAAGGCCAGTTTTACTGCTGAATATGGTAACATGAGTGCAACTTCTGTAATGTTAGTCAGACACAGCAGAAAGGTCAATAAAATAAGAATAATAAATATAATTAGATGTATAATGTTATGAGATTTAAGCTATTTAGACTAAACATTTGTGGTTTCACGTTATCATTTGTAGTCATTCAATAATTTATGGTGATTACGAGGTCAGTCAAATTAACCAAACCCATACAGAGACACAACAGTCAAAATAATAAATAAAATAAAAAAGTTTATTCAAAACAAAACCAAAAAAAGTTTCATAAATATCTGGTGGTTATAGAGATTTCACATATGAAATTTGACAATTTTCTGATAAATAAAAGTATTTTTAATCTTAAAATCTAAATTACTTTGCATTTTGGATAGTTAACATTCCAAAAGAAAAATCCACAAGCAAATCATTATTTAAAAAACTTAAAATTAATAAAAAAACATTAAATTTTGTGTAAGAAAGCCTTGTAAGGTTTACTGATAATCTACAGTTTTCATGCTGTATTAAAAGTTACAGTATGAAAACTATAAAAAGCACAAAATGGTTATGAGGTTGGTCCTTAGGACCGAGCCCGTAGTGAGAGAGTTAACTGTATATTAACACCCTGCAGATTACAACTTTTAAAACATGTTTACACAAGCATGTGTATACACAGCTTAAAATTATTTATCATATACTTTAACTAACCAGATTACAGAGGTTTTAACTTCTAGCTTGCATATCCACACAGCTGAGCCCTCTATATCATATATCACAGCAGTTTATATGTTTACACAAAAGTACTCTTTCTATGACAGACATATCTGTGTGCTTTAAGCTCAGAGCACTCAGGATCATTTTAACAGCTTCTGAATAATTTATTCTGAAAGTGCGTTAGGTGCGTTATGGCTGTGACTGGTCCGAAATCCTAAGATCCCAACACTTTGTTCTTATAACTTACAAATTTACACTAATATGTTTATAGTCTGCAGGTTTTAGGTTTTACAACATTGTAACTAGGAATAGCTACATATCCCACCTGCAAACTTGCTAGGAAATTTTCAGCAACCTCTACTGTTGCACTCTGGGTGGTCTTCATTTGCAGATTCCATGTCAGAGCTGTTTCAGTTTGGTCTAGTGTGTCGCAGGAATCAGCATGGGATGATGTGTTTAAAGGTGCTAAGTTGTACTGAAGCGTGTGACTCAAGTCATAGCTGTAGCTAAGGAATCAAAGGAAATGAAAGTTTTGCTTTAAGACATTGTAAACAGAACTTTCTATTCAGTAATTGATACAGGATACTGAAATAATACAAAACAGCTATTAAAATTTACCACACTGTCAAATGACATTATGCCATTAAAAGTAATAAATTTCTAAGTCTTATTTTATTTTATTATTTTCTATAAGCATATTATAAGCTTTTAATTTATAGATAAAGGACAACGCCTATACTGAAAAAATTACCAGAAACAAACATTAAGAATAGATTTTTGTCGTGTTTTTGATGTCTTATTTAATTCCACTAAAAGTGAAAACTACCTGGAACTGCATCTTTCTCCCAAATTAATTCTAAATCTGTGAAACAGTTATGTGTGTATTCCCATACATTCAGGTTGTACATTAAATTAAACTTAATAACCAACTTAAATAAGCCTTGTCACATTCCCCATTAAATCAAAGAAATGCATTATATATTTTTAAGATTCTTTACAGTACAAAAATTAATGGTTTATACCTGAAATTAATAATCTATTCCAAACTTTCAGGATGTAGTAGATTACCTCTCTAATGAGATTTTTGGTGTTATTTGTGATAACTGCCTTTACAATATTTACTGTTGAAGTGTGTTTTGGCTGCATTAGATTTTAAAACATTTTTTTGCTCGTTTCCAATTTTAAATGGCTATATGAAAATATTAAGTGTATATTAAATAAAAAAAAGCTTGATTTATTTGGTATAGTTTAGTTTATATACAGCCTTTCATAACATATATTGCAGTAAAAGCTGCAAGTATAAAATTCATAAACAAAGCATTTTATGAAGTGCATATGTTAAAATACCCTTCTTATTTTGTATACAATACCAAGTAAATGCAACAATGTATCACCAGCTTAGCTATTACCTTGTATAGTTTTATTCCTCTTGGCATTTACTTTGAAAACATGAGTAAAATAAAACTAGATTGTGGGTATCACAAAAGTCAACACAAATAATTCCCAATTAAGAGAATAAAAACATAAAACCAAGTCTAAACAAATTACCCATATTTTTCCATACATCAAAAGTTTAATTAATACACATTATGAATGTTTTACAACAACAATTAATAATAATATTTCAAATTTCATTCTCAGAAATTTCATAATTTCACTACAAACAAGACACAGATATACTGCTTCTATTACATTTTACATCTTCTGCATAGTAGGAAAATATAATTTTCAAACCAGCTGGTAAAGGCATCTCCTGAAGCCTTATTATCTTACCATAATAATTATGTTCATAATTTTAATGAGTGAAAGTCATGTTTTGGTTACATTTATTTACAAATAAATGTAGTAAATAATTTTTATTTAAAACAGCAGACGTTATTCAAAATAATGCACTTTTTTGTTTGCTATTATTATTGTAGAAGTACATTACAAATAAAAAGGTCATAATATTGTCTGATGAAATGTCATGTTCAGTATGAAGGAAAGTTCACTTTCAAAATAATATATAAGTATTTCCAGTAAGACTGATTGACTGGCCATTAGTTCCATGGAGATAGATCACTTGTTATGTCATAGGATGCAAAGATTAATTTGAAATTGGAAGACAGGGTTAGAAAGACACAGAAGTTAATATTATTTTTATATATATATTATCATTTTACTTATTCATACTCAACATAAAACAAATAAAACTTAAAATAGTACAAAATTAAAGATAACCTTGTGAAATGGTAAACTGGAAGACAGGGTTAGAAAAACACAGAAGTTAACAATATTATTTTTATATGGTGATATTCATGTTACATGTGAGACAAAAGAAATTAGAATCTAAAACACAAAATATCCATACAACTAACTTTAGAGACAACAACATAATACCTAGTATCAAACTTGCATTTCATGTCCTTTACCATAATAAGTTGAAGACATGTATTTAAATAATTAAGGTTTTTTAATATTTGCCCACATTTTTTCAATAAACAGTATGACAAGTAACAACTAGTTCTCTTTTATGAGTGTCATTCAAAATTTGAATGGTAAAAATTTTCATACTTCAAAGGAAAATAATTTCATGTCAAATATGAAAGTACCATGCCAAACTAATTTCAAAATAGCATGGTTTGTTCATCAACAACGTACAAATGACCTGATTCTGAGCTCTTTGGGATTACGATTCAATAATCAAAATGTACTCTTGGCCATTTTGTAAGGTTGATTCATGTTTATAAAAATGCTTTAACAAATGCACTATATCATCCCAACATTGTAAGTGGTGGCCTTGAAGTACACACTTACATACTAAGTGGAACCATAACTCATAAAATTGATGGCAACAGTATATAATACAGATTATATTCACATTCACAGACTATCAAGTAGTGTAAAATGAAAACATTTTACAGTGTATAAGTCAGCCATGAGCTACACTTCCCATTATTCTACCCCATAGCATTAATTCTTTGCCATGATTGATCAAAAATGCATTATATGGTGTCAAACATTTTATATTGTTCCCTTAAAAGCTGGGTGACATCACAAGATATCTTTGCAGCACATTGAAAACACACTAATCCATTTAGTCTTAATTACAAACAATTTGCTTAAATCTATAAAAAGCATGTGGACATATGGTGCAAGATTTTCGTTACTCAAAAGATGAGGAGCTTGTGAATCATGTAAACTGCAAAACTTTGCAGATAACAACATTTTGCAGTTCAGTGTAAACATAATGATTCATTTAGGCCTCATTTACAAAGAAAATAAGAAATTACAAATTTTGTGTTGAAGTTAGGCAGGTGCATACTTTATACATTTATTGATATAACCAGATGATGATGGGCAGTTATATTTTGAAAATTAAACAATTCTTAAACCTTCCAATTCTTGAAAACCCTAAGAGACTACATAAAGAATGTAGTGTTTAAAAATGTAACAGGCCTATTACTAATGGATTATGACAAGAGTAATTGTAATAATTCTTTGCCAGCTTCTAAAAGGCATACAACCATTACAACTGTTGTTGTATCAAATGGCTTATATAAAGTGTTTCAACCATTACTATGTTTGTTGTATCCCATCCAGCCTGAAGAGCTCTGGATTAAGCAAAACATGCCGTTAGCATTGGGTATGACAAATATAGTGTGGTTGGAATGATATTAATATATACTTTTTTAATTCTTGAAAATCCTTAAGGGACTAGATAAAGAATGTAGTGTTTAAAAATATAATAGGCCTAATACTAATGTCTTATGACAAATGTAATTGTAATTTCTAAATCTTATTGATTTATTATTGTTTCTTAACTTAAAATGAGAACAAAATCTCCAATCAAGTGTCAAACTTTATGATTCTTATATAGATCCAGAAATGTAGGCTAAATACACTATGTGACAGTGTTAATTAATCAGATTTTAGTAAAACTGAAAATAGAAGAGGGTCAGACAGAATAAAACAGTTATTGACTGGTGATCTCAGGCAACAGGTAATTTGTTGCCCTCATAACTAGTCAATAATTGTAGAATCACCAGCAGGTACCAATAGCTACCCAGAAGAAACACACCACCTCATGCTGGACACTGGAGTTAGTGCATAAAGGGAAATTGGTGGTAAGCACAGAGAATAGGAATATGCAAAGAAATGTACTATGCAAAACTGTTACTTGGAAAGACATTATATGGTCTAATTTCACAAGCTTCTCCCTTTTCACATCACAGAATGGAACACAATATTCAAGAGCTTTAAAAGTACCATATGCTAGGTGAGAATTGGAAATTTGTTGTAATCTTAGATAAGGCAATGATCTACCTCAGCAACCGTTACAAACTATGGATGATCTTCCACTGAAAACAAGTGCAAAAATTCATGGTTAGTGTGTCAGGCAATGTGAGAAAACTTTTCTCCAAGATGTGAAGGTAGAGAGGCCATAATGGCAAACTAACCATGCATAAAATTAACAATAAAGCCAAAATTAAGGGTAATTTCAGACCCAATCATATGGTACAAATCAAAACAAAGTGTAAATCTACCAAGAAAAACACAGAGTCACACTGCCAAATAAATGCTTGCTTACATAACCAGGATGAAGGAGAGAACCAAAATACATGCAAGTAAAATATCTGTCATTAATGGGCATATGTGAGTTTGGCTCCTTAAATAGAAACTGGGAAATAGGTGGCCCCACACACTGAATTCCTTTTGGAAAGACTACCAGGTGTGGATTTTCAAATATCTCAACAGCCTAAATGTAATCTCCTATAATGAAAACTGGTATGGTGGTTGATAGCCCAAACACATAGTTAATGCACATAGCACAACTGGTGAATGTTCTATGGATTTAAATGAGCCAATAGCATGTGTAAAATTATTCTCGTAAATGTGAGTTATCCCTCTGTACTCCTTGATGTTTAAATTACATGCATAATTTGTATATCAATAAAAATTACAGAAAAAAAGTAATCAAAATTATCAAACAGATAAAACAAGATTCCCAATTTTAAGTAAAAAGTTTGAGATATTACTGCACACAACAAACACAGAGTTAAAACTTCAACACTAAAAAATAGTTAAATCCAAAGACAAAAAAGGAAAAATGAATAAATAATAAAATTCTTACCTAAAATAAAAATTACTAGAAAGGTCTATGTTTTGAAACATCTTCAGATACCTGAAATAAGATAAAAAGTTAATTTAAGTTATTTTAATTCAAGTTTTTTCTTTATATATATTTGTAGTGCCAGAACATAAAAATATGTCTGCAATTGGGAAATAATGGTGAAGGTAGGTTAGTATAAATTTAAAATTTTTTATTTTAATATTTTAAATTAAATGTTTCAAGAGAGCATGGGTCAAATAGGACAAGTGAAAACTAACACTTTAGTAAATCTTCAAAACTGTTTTCTTAATGGAGTGCAAGGTATAACTTCATTTTTGATACACAAGTCTATTAACCATTTATACCCAACCATACACTATCTACATGAAGCACATTAGTTTCTGAAATAATTTTCTTTATATTATTTTCTATATATTTTGTAGAAAAATTTAAATTTGACATACAAATAAAAAGAGATAGCATCATCTTCTGCATCTTGTATCCTTCCTAGACTCACTCATATTTTACAAAAACATTGCACAAACTTCTTTTTTCATAAGCCATATTTCTTAATATACTGACAGTAATAAGCATTTCAATGATAATATAAAAGTAATAATATATTAAAAAAATCATAGAAAAATTCAAACATCAATAAAAATAGTTAATCTTAGAAGACAATCATCAAGATGCATTACAAAGAATGGAACAATTATTAAATCCAAATAAGACCAAGAAGTTAACCACTAAAACAGGTATTCTTAAAAAATCAACTACAGCGACACATAGCACAAACAGGTGAGAGGATACAAACCTAATGAATTGAAAAAAGTGATGCTTGTAGATGGAAACATGTAACATAAAGAAGTACAAATTTCTGCATAACCATGGGTAAATAGTTAACTGAGAAAAAGAACCTGAACTCTAATCTGAAAAAGCAGAGGATGCACATACCTACATACATTAAAAAGAAGACTAAATACGAGATAAAAATTGTGATGTTTCACATAAAGTAAAAAATGTTTTAAACAAAAAGAAGTGAAACATTATTCACAACCTACAAAAATTCTACCAGCTGCAGCAAGTTTGGTAACCTAAAGCTGGTTTTTATTCAGCTAAAGCCAGCAAATGCTTTATCTAATTGTTAAGTTTTTTTATCTTAACTACTAGAAAATATTTCTGTTAAAATAATTTTCTTAGTCTTAGCCAGCAGAACACAATTTGGTCTAAAGGATTTTGTTACTTCAAACTGTCTGTCTGGTGAATCAGCATCAACTGCTAATAATTAGCTAGAGACTAACCTGGTTTCATCTGGATTTGTGTTTCGATCACCTTCATTAGGTATGTATACCATACGAGTGTCTTCAATTTTATAAATAGTGTGGTGACCAATTTCTGCTACACGACGCCTTTTGGTGATCAGTATAATATAGTAGCCTTCAAGAAACTTTACAAAACCTGTGAAAGTCATACCAAAACATATTCACATTCTGCTAGTTTAGTTTACAAAAAATATACACAATATTTTTCATATTGTAATATAAAAAAAAGATTTGTGTTGCTAAATTCTAAGTTGAAAAGAAATATAAAAATGCTGTTATGCGCATAAAATGTTTCAGGCAGTTTTTATTAAGAAAACATACAGCTGCATCTGGAGAGTACAGGTAATTTAGAAAAACTCCCCATGGTCAGCAACTGTTAAAATTTATGAGGTAAGTGGCAAACAAGTCAGAGCAATATTTTCATCTCAATTCATCAATACTCCAGGCTAAAGTATATTCCACCATACAAAATCTTAACACAAATTTCATATAAAGCATACATCATGCTTATATGATCAGATACATTCTCCTAAAACCTACCAACAATTCCGAATGCTGAAACAGTGCGATTAAACCCTGGGTTAGTCTTTTGCCCCTGTCTTTGTCTGTTTCCGAGATTTAGCATTTTTAGTAGATCTCTTATTTCTTTCAGTCCATACTCTATCTGTTTGAAAGATAATGTGGATATTCAGAATCTATAACATTTACATAAAGAATTAATATAATATTGTGCTAACCAATAAATATTTTTCAAGCCTTTTATCAAATGTTACACTGATACTTCACATGTTTATTGTTGAAGTTATAAGTTTATGTTTTGTAATAAAAGGATGAAACAACAGATGGGCAAGGAGAAAAGCAAATACAACTAATATGTCTGCACATTTTCTCTCTATAAATGCACTCAACTTTAGTACATTAGAAAAACATACAAATTATAACTAACAAATTGGTAAACAATGGTTTATAAGTATAATGTTTCAAAAGAATATGTCTGTCTTCTTCTAAATTACAATTGGTATTAATAAATTATTAAAGAGCACAAATATGTAAGTATTCTGTAGAAATAAAAATATTACTTCAAAGTAATCAAAAAGTATTATGTTAGCTAAAAACATGGAAGAATCAGTTTACATATTTTAAAATAAGGAGGTATGATATGAGAATACAAAAGCATGTCAAAGATAATTAATTTTTATATGAGTGAACTTTAGTAGTAGATTTGAGATTGGAAAAGTTTTTCTAAGTAACACAGCTGGGGATCCACCTCTATATTTTTCTATGATTGTAAAATTAAGGATATTCTGTGATCATATATGTACAGATGCACTAACTTTGGTGAATTTTACAAAAACTAATATTACTGCATTAATAATGGGGTAGGATAAGTCAGACGTATCTCCAGTTGAGGCAGTTAACAAGGTTGTGGAACAAACTGCCATCTTGGATGGCAAAAACTACAACTTTACATGATTCTAAGTAAAGGGTTGACAAACATTTGGGTAAAAATCAGGACTAGACTTAGTGACCAATTAATAACTGCTGAATAAGTCAGGACATTCTTGATGGGTCAAAATGCCATTTGATGTCCCATAGTTCATAATTTATAAAATTTTATAAAAAGACTTGTGAAAATCTTGTATTTTGTGATGATTATTTTTTGACTTGAATCTTTTAAATCATATTTATGCTGCTAATTCATAACTACAAAATAATGTAAGACAAAATTCTACCAACCTTATCATCAGTCACGTTTAACTCCATAGGCTCCATACGATTTATCTTCAAAACACGAAACTTTGTCTGAGTGTTGTTAGAACCAACCAAGAAATATCTCTGAAGGAAAAACTCAGTTTAGCCCTCCTTTTATATATGTATTAAGCAGTCTATAGTTTTCACAATTATTCACTACATGATAAAACACATATACTAATTTATTTAACTCAAAGTTCTTCCTGTGTTACCTACTCATCTTTATAAGTATTTAAAATATTACAGAAAACTGTAATTGATATGATGAATCTTAATAAAAAATGTATTTCATACAAAATTATCTATTTATTAAACCAAAATGAAAAAAAAATATTTATTTACCACAGGATACACAATTAGTTAATTGTGTGCTTGCTCTATTTGCAACCTTAACATTTGATACAAGACAGTCTGTCATTATATAGCATTTATATTTCCTGCTCAAATTCACTGGTGAAATGTTCAATACATTTGACTGACAGTTCTTGTGCAAAGATTCAATAAAATAATAAGTTGACAACTCTAATGTCTTAAAATTCACAGTAATTTATTATATAAAGTTAAAAGCAATAAAAAGCTAAAAATCTTTTTTACTTGTTTCAGTGGAACATGCTACCATCATCTTCAGGAGACAAGAAAGACAACAAATTTCATTTACATACCCATGTAAATCATGTACATTTTGCATTTTTGTACAGTGGTGTCATTTTACAAAATTGATTTCCACAAATTACTTCAGAGAATTAATTTAGGTTTATTTCAATTTTTGTTTTGTGGTTACGAGGTTGGTCGAATTGACCGATCCAGTTTTGAGATTAGGGTAGAGAAAATAACATATAAGCTATAAGTATTTAGTGAAAAAAAAAAACGTTTGAAATGTATATAGGAGGTTTTAGGGATTACACAAAGGAAACCTTATTTCTTGTTTTTCATATTTATTCTTTATTTATTATTATAAAAGTAACTAAAATTAAAAGTACAGATCTTTTTAAGTTATTCAAGACTAGAATAGGGAAAATAAGTAATAATAATAATATGATTAAAATTGTTCACAAAGCACACACGCAAGCAGCTCGTGGGTAATGTAATTCAATAGCGTAATATGAGCTGCACATTCCACGAGTGATTTACAACTTATAATGGCGCAGATAGCAGTTAGACACAGTTCAAAGGGCAATAAAACAATAAAATTTAATTATAAATAGATGTATAATGTTACGAACTTAGAACTACTTAAGATAAACAAATGTAGTTTCATGTTACAATTTGAAGTCGTACTAGAAAGAAAAGAAGGTACTTACCCAATCTTCCTTTTTCTTGCCCTCACTTGTCGAGGAGAGTTAAGCTTGATTTTTTTTAATGATTATAGTAAAGCACTTAACAATTTTTATTTAATTAAATAATACACCAAAGAATATAGACTAATAAC